CTTCTGAGGAAGTTAGGGTGTAGCAGGCCCTTGATGCAGCAATCTGCACTGGTCCTGTTAAAGAACCATTCACAGAAGAACTGAAGGACCATTCTCCTAGCATCTATGAGGCAGTGTCATGGAATCATGGGGTCATTCCTGATCTGTTGATTGGCATTTGATGTTTCTCAAGCCACACAGGTTGTGGCTGTATGGGATAAACTAAAAAGATGAGGAAGTGAGGTTACAGAGAATATATCTTAGAAGTGAGGAGAACTAAAGGGGAATGAAAATACAAGCGGTCCAGTGAGGAAAAGCAAGGACGATATGCCTTCATGTTGGAGGGCAATGAAGGTCTTTGTTCTTTCACAAGGATAATTGCGAGTCTACTCTATGTTATGGGATGATGTTGACACCTCTGTGCTGAACATAACCTGAATAAGTACCAATGTTTTATTATTATATTGATGATGTGGCTTTAATATCTGTATCTTTATTCCACCTAGAGACTGCTGCTCAAAGAATGTTGGCACACCTCCAAGACAGATTATGGGGTTTAAACTCCTCCAAGGTGGAAAGACCTGGGGTGTCTCTCATGTGTTCAGGGGTTATTTGGTTGTATCCCGCTGTTGCACATAAAAAGCAAATTTTCCCAATTCCCAGACACAGACCTTTCTGGATGTTGAGATGTTTTCATCTCTGTACTCCATAATTTAGGATTAATGTTAAAGACTTTGTATGTTTCAGTAAAAGCTTGGCCTAGTGGAACTGGAAAATGGAACACTCAAGTACTTTTCTAAACAAAAATCATTGTAGAGGAATAACAAGCCTTGGGTATATTAGCCCAAGCACACCCCTATAAATATATTTTCCTGCCCTGATTGTTTGAATGGGTCATTAGGAAATATCAAGGCAATAAATGAGTTCAACTTTGGCCTTGGTGACATCCTTGGAAGAGGCAAAGACAATGAAAGACATTTGGGATCAACCACTACAGACTGTGCTTTCCTGTGGGAAAAGCAACAATGGACTTTGTTTTCCACATGGCATTTACATAGCTTGATAATAGGTTATGGGATGGTTGTGGCAGCTCTGATCTTGTGGACAAGACCACAGGAGCTGCCAGAGGGGACCAATTGAGTCTATTGGCCATGGGAATGGCAAAAGGGCCTCAATGATGTGGGTTGCTAGTCCATGGGCAAAGGGACTAGACCAAGACATACAAATAGGGGGGAAAAAACCTACCAGTAGAGAATATTTCATCTCTGAGTGAGTTTCTCATTTCATTATGGTCTATAACAACTTCATCGTTGACATACTTTTCTTTGCACAAGGACAACTTGAACAAGAAATATGGTATTGTAAATGTGGTGATGGGACACAGGCTGGTACTATTCTCACTTAGATTGATCAGGTTGCTTATGTGTTGCTGAATAATCCAATTTGTATGTATTCACTCCTGTGGCAGTTTACCCTTAGAGTTAAGGTATTTATATAACAGACAAATATCATAATAGATGTGCAGAATAAAATGATTCCTGGTTGTACATTGAGGTGCCTCTGTCCTCCTCTTCTCCTCTCCCGTGGCATCTTCAGTCAGCCACCTTGGTGTAGAGGGAGCAAATGTGAAAACTAGAGCCACAGCTGCAGCTCATGGACACAGCTGGACAACTGCCCTATGGAACTGAACGTAAATGTATCTTCCTTTAAGGAAACCAAATAGCATGACTTCCATTATATGTGGAAATAACTAACTATGACAAAGCTTTTTCTGGGGTCCACTGTGTTTGACAGCTTGTGGTGGCTGGGTACAACACGGGTGGAAATGACAAGGAAATTTCCTCCCTGTATAGAAAGACACAATGACAATAATACCTGCCTCACCTGGTAAGTTTGGGCTGGCTCCCTATCCATCAATATAATTTACCTACTGTCCCCACAGGCCCTGACTTGTTGGTGACTGTCAGTTGAGCATGTGGATCCCTGTAGCTGACATTTGAACAGTTGGGAGTATATTGTGACAGAGATCAACAGACACCTTTCACTTACTTCTGCATATTTCCAGATATACTGAGGCTTATTCCTGTATTGCAAGCACTGAGTTCCCAACTCTCATCCTTAGCCTGCTCCCTCCCTTTTAATATGTCAGTGCAGTGCAGGGTCCAGCAGAGATCATAGCTGGGTGATGGTGGCAGTGATGCAACAGGCAACAGGGGCACCAGACCACCATACACCATGTGGCCAGTAGGAGATCATGTTCCACAGTGGAAGTAGCCATTTTGAGTGTCAAGATCCAAATTGCTTCTTTTCCAGTTTATCTTAGTTGCCAACACATAGAGGCTGGACTCTGGGTTTGGACATGGAGTGACCAGGGAATACAGAAAGAAGCAAATACAAAACCGACAGTTACAAAATCAAACACAGTTTATGCAAACACTTTCCATTACTCTGAGCACTTATAGTTCCACTCCAGAGACCATTCTCATTGCTCTCTGCTGGGTTCCATGGAGTCTTTGCATCACAGGACAAATCATATTTGAACAGGACCACTATAAGGTGCTACAGTTTTCAATATGAGGTGGCCACAGAAGCTCATGCATGAGACAAGGCAAGAAAGTTTTAAGAAGAAATGATGGGGTCATGACACCCTAAATGAAGCAGTTATTTAATGCACTAGGATGATTAAATGGGAGATAAGTGTAGGCAGGTAGGTGTTGGCTAGAAGAAGTGAGTCCATGGGAACATGCCTTTGGGTTTTCTATTTTTTGCCTGGTGAGTTGCTGTCTTTGTGCTTTTTAGGGGCCATGCCTGAGCTGCTTTCTTCCATCTTGGGCCCAGAGTTATGAACACAGCTTACAATGGACTACCTCTGAAGCCATGAGAAATAAATTTTTTCTCCTCTAACCATTCTTATCATCTCTTTGGTCATGGAGACAAAAAAAAAGATGAATAGAACAGAAATAGGTACCAACAAGTGAGTTGCTTGCATTGACTTGCTGAATATGTGGTTCAGGAACTTGTGGAGACTGGTATTTTGGATAGAAATTTTGAATAGTTTAGAGATGTAAGCTGGACAAGCTTTGAACATTGTAAGCGAAGCTTATCTTGTGATTCTGGTGGAAGCTTTGAAGATCAAAATGCTGATAGGACTGTTGATAGGAAAGACTGTGTACCTGAGGTTGCAAAAAAAGGAGGACTCTATTGGAAAAGGGACTAGAAGATATTTATGTTACATTCTGGCAATATATTGTCTACATTGTGCACATCGTGTGACCCTTTTAGGGGCTGAATGTAGAGATGATGTACTAATTAATCTGGTGGAGGATTAATTAATAAACACAGCATTCAGGCAGTGGTATGGATATTTCTAGAAGGTTTATCCAGGTTTACTGTGATAATGTGGAGCTGAAGGAAGGATGCAAACTTGCATTTTAGTAGAAATGTTGAAGTAAAACTGGATTTCCAGAAGTTGTGTTTGTTAATGCATTACTGTGATGCTAAACAAATTACACAGAGGCAATAGGGGAAAAATCTTCAGGGCATTTCAGGAATTGGCAAGATTGTATGTGCAATTCTTATTCATATGATATAAAATTAAAATTCCCTTGAGAAGAGGAACCACTAGGAATGGGTTTCACCATGCTCAGTCAATCAGACCCTCAAAGGCTGCCACAGCCATGGTTTCAAAAGACTTAGCTACTGCTTCAGATGGAGATATACCCTGGCTTCAACCACTTGGTGCTGGCTCTGCAGGAATGCAGGATGCTGTCCTGAGGTGGTCACGAAGGCTTCCAACAAGATTTCAAAGGAAGGCCTAGCAGGTCAAAGTATAATGAAGCTAGAATCCCTGTAGGTAGTCCCTGAGAAGGTAATTTGTGCAGCTGTGAGAAGAAAACTGAAGCTTCAGAAGAGAATCCTTGGATTAAAAGATGCTGGTAATGTGCAATATATGTCAGGCAATGTTACTAGCTGAGCACAGAACTAGCCTACATGAGACGCCAAGGGTCAAGGCTGCCCAAGTCCTTTGGAGCCCACTGTGACATCATGTGCCCCAGATGCTGAGCATGGGGATAGAGGAACTGTCAGCTGGGTTTTGTCTTGACTTCTATCCATTTCTTCTTTCTATGTGCCCATTGATCCCTTTTGTAATTGAAATATTTATTCTGTGCTACTATACATTGGATATACATAAGTTCATTTTGGCTCCTACACAAGAAACAACCAAGAGTTTGATTTGAGTCCCAAAGGAGACTTTGGACTTGGGCTTCAAGTTTTGGGCAAGGCCAAAACAGTTGAGAATAGGGAATCTCCTGGAGAGTCACTGAATGTATTTTCCATGGTGAAATGTTCATAGTGTTTTGGAGACCAGGGGTCCTGTCAGGTATTGGAGATTAGGTGTATTTCAAAAGCTCAAGTGAGGCCTTCAAAATGCTAAGAGGTAAAATTGTTAGATGATGACATTGCTGCCATAATGTATAAGTAAATCCATTGGGTGAATTAATAATTTAAAACAACTACTGTAGTTAGTCATAAATGGGGAAGATGGAGCATGGCTGGAAGAAGTAGGTCACTTGGGGCATGTCCTTGGAGATTATATTTTATCACTTGGTCCTCTATTCTTTCTACTTCATGGTTGTCATAAATTAAGAAATTTCCTGCAAATGCCTTTCTTCCATGATGTTCTGCCTTACCTCAGACCCAGAGCAATGGTTGCTCCTGGCATGAGACCTCTGAAATGTGAGGTGTTCTGCATCACTTTGGGCCCAGAGCTCAGCCAAACATGAATAGAGTACTCTGAGAAATGTGGTGCTAGGCAACAGCAAGAATATTGGATCCTGGGCTGGGGATATAGCTTAGTTGGTAGAGTGCTTGCCTCACATGCACAAGGCCCTGGGTTTAATATCCAGCACCAAAATGAAAAAGAATATTGGATCTCCTTGATATGGTTCACAAAGAAATATATGTATATACACTGGTTGGAATAAAAGGGAATTCACCCCAATTAAAATGTACATATTTTGAGCTGGGACTCCTACGTTGGTCGGCTACCGCAGGTTGTAGGTAGGTAGGTGGGCCAGGCAGTGCCGCCTCCGGTCCCTTAGGCTTGCTTCTCATTCCCATTCCATCCCAGGCCACGATGCCGCAGTACCAGACCTGGGAGGAGTTTAGCCGCGCGGCCGAAAAGCTCTACCTCGCTGACCCTATGAAGGCACGTGTCGTTCTCAAATATAGGCATTCTGATGGGAGTTTGTGTATTAAAGTAACAGATGATTTAGTTTGTTTGGTGTATAGAACAGATCAAGCTCAAGATGTAAAGAAGATTGAGAAATTCCACAGTCAACTAATGCGACTTATGGTAGCCAAGGAATCCCGCAGTGTTGCCATGGAAACGGACTGACTGGTTTGAAATGAAGACTCTTTTTGTCGTGTTCTTAGGAAGTAAATATTTTTTGAATACGAGGAAGTGTTGACAAAAAATACTTTATGTAACTAAGTGAGCTATTCAAAAGCTGGGAGATCTTTTTTTTGTACTTTATTTTTAATGTTTACTTTAGAGAGCTAGGAATATAAATGCTTTCTGTTAGAAAGCCATTATTTATCTTTGAAAATTAAATAAGAAATACATCTGTCTCAGAAACTTTTTACAGATTATTTGATGTTGGCCAAAATATACAATTATTTCTCTGATAAATTTATATTAGTAATTTAAAATGAAATACCAAAAAAAGCCAGTTCTTCTTAAAATGTACATATTTTGCCTGAAGTTAATAACGAAGAGTCAGGCACCATTACTGACTCCAGAATCCTGCTGGACAGTTTCAGGAACTAAATTTCTAGTATGCTGGGAAATCATGGAAGAAAAACTACCTACAGCTATTCTGGGGCAATTTATGGCCATTTTGAGTAGGTAATTGATGACTCTAGATGACTACCATCATCTAGAATCCATACAGATATATGGAGTCATGTAGAATGAATGTTTAAATAACCAACAGGAAAACAGCTCCAGAATAACACTGAAGAGGTAAAAATAATTTTGTGGTACATGTGGGGAAAAAAAGCAATGCAGAGTCCCAGAGAGCTCTAAGCTCAGACCAGCAGTGGACATTTGGCCTTGCTCCTTACCCTGGGGACCTTTTTTTGACAAACCTGGCATAGCCCCAAGCTCTTTCTTCATCATGCATTCCAGTCACACATCACGAGAGACAAACTCAACAGTGGGCCTTTAGCCCCACAGGAGCTGGTGACCCAGCTCAGCTCCTTTGGTCATTTTGGTGGTATCCTGTCAGACTGCACCAGGTGATCTGAATGGGCAGTTTTTTCAGCATGGTCACAGGTCATGCTGCCTGGCCCTATTGGCCCATCAGGCACCCATCCCTCTGACCTGCAGTTCTCCCGCTCCCTGGCAGGATCACCCTGCTTCTCCAGCAGCTACCATCAGCCCTGCCTGCAGGGATGCCCACCAAGATACCTGTGCTCGAGTGCCTGCCTCAGCATACTGCCACAGAGGCCCTCTCCTACAGGTTATGCCTTCCCCTCTGGGGATCCTGCCACCAGTATCTTGGAGGTCCCCCCTGAAAAAGCCAGTGCTGTCATCCATCAACTCACAACAGTTTGTATCATCCTAAATTGTAAGTCCTTCCTCCTCTTCAGAGATCAGTCTTCCAGCCTTTAAACCTTGAAGTCCATTGAATAATGAAGCCCATGATACAGGATCAACTCCCTGTTCCTCAGAGGAAGCAGAGCTGATAGTCCAAGAGCAGCTTGAAGAATCAGTTGTCCTCCAGGAGACAGAGGAGGGTCCCCAAGGGACAGGGAGGATACGGAAAAGGCTGCCTTGAGAAAAGGGAAAGAAACACCAGCAGTATCTCCCCCTGGAGACTCAGGGAGACCTCAGTGCCCTGAGGCCCAGTCTTGAGCTCTGGGAGGGAAACACCTTTCAATAGAGGGCACAAGTGCCTCTCAAGAATTTCTCTGTGGTACCTACCATCTGCAGCTCCCACAGACTTGCAGCAGGAGTGCTGACCATGGATCACGCTGATGCAGAAGCTGCACTGCTCCAGGAGAAGACCTGGGCAGCTTCTCACATTCAGAGAGTAGGCCAATGAAAGGCTGGACACACACCATCTGCCTACTTCTCCAGTCTCCCAGGGCTCAACCAAGGAGTTGCAGGGCCAAAAGCTTTCCTGTGGTCCATCAGAGAGCTGTCCTCTACCCAGAGCTGATGCCTGGAGACTCAAGAAGAGAAAGAAGCCCATTCCAATGGCCCTGCTGCTGCCCCTACTCTGGCATGGAGGTTGGCTGCCCCCAGCTGCCAAGAAGACTCTTCTGTGTCTGGAGGAAGATGTAGGCACACTGCTGAGGGAGGTTCCAGGTGCAAAGAAGAAGGTGGAAGATGATATCAAGGCTTGGAGGGTAGAAGAGAAGGTGTGGAGGCCTGCACCACCACTCTGCCTGTCCATTCTTGCTTCCCACCTGGGCACCATAGTTGAACTACAGATTCACTGACTCTACCCATGGACCCCTCCCAGAACCCTGCTATTCCTGCAAGCAAGCAGTGGGAATTGCAGGCTGCCATGCCCCTTAACCTGCCTGTCCATATACCTCCCCACTCACCAAATAATCATGAAGGGGAAATCCATAGTTCCCTTCCTCTGCCTCATCCCACTAATTCTCTTTCTCCATTGAGGCCCAGTCCCAATGTGGGAATTACCCTTACTTGGTTTTACCACCCTGTTCTCCTTACAAGAGCTGTGGTATCTCCCATTTTTCACCTTCCCATTCATCATAACCAGGTCCCTTTTCCCTCCAAGACTACCCCCGCGGAATGAAATCCCCAACCCCCATGTGTGTTGATTCTTCTCCTCGTGCTCCTCCTCCATTTGCTTCTCCTCCTGCTGCTCCTCTTACTCCTCCTCCTCATTCCATTCCAAGCCCCACTCTGGTCCCTTCCAACTGCAACCCCAATAGCCATGGCCAGAACTTAACTACTGCAAATATCTCTCCCACCAACACAGCCAAGGACTCTGCTCACCTGACTCATCATCCCACTGTGCAGCCTGAGGACGTAGCTATGGATACTACTCCCCCTTCTATAGCAGTGATATTTCCATCTCCCACTACCTCCAATGACAGCTCCTATCCAGGCCCCCAGGTCCACGGCCCGAGGCAGCAGAAGCAGCCAACAAATGGATGAGTCTCTGCTGGATCCCCAACCCCTCAGCTCTCCTGCCCCAACTCCAATTTGAACAGTTACCGTATCCCGCCAACCACTCCTCAGTCTGTATCTAGGAGCCATCTGGGGAGCAATGGAGAGTCTTGTTTTGTGATGCCCTCCTGTTCATAGTGATCCCAGTTTTGAACCCGCACTGGCCTCCCTCCTGGCAAGCAGAGCCAGTACACCATCAAACTCAAAGTTTGAAGCACATGAGCCATGGATACCACCTCTCCTCCCAAGGCTGTCCTCTTACAATCTCCTCCTGCCTCCCAGAACCTCTTTGGGCCATAGTATGGGGTGTTTACGGATTCTAGGAACCTCCATCAGACTGACAGCATTACCGCAGCTCCCTTATCCACAAGTTGGGGTACACATCAGGCTCAGGGACCACGTGCCAGTGTCCATATCCATGAGGTTCTGGAGCCACCTGTCAGCCCCCTTCTAGGGCCACTGGTGGGCAGCAACTGCACAACACATTTTTGGGAGTAACCCAGGAAGCCCAGTCCAGGCTATGGGCTTAACTTTTCAACATTTCAATTGCTGAGTAGCAGCAAAGGGCAATCAGGATGTGGGTATGACATCACCCCAGACCCCTTTGGCACACTACTCAACAGCTGGTCAGCCTTTCCCAAGGTGCAGTGCAGGGAGTCATAGCCTCTAGGACTGGTTTGGACTTGCCCACGGGTAGGCTGGATCCGGGACAGGGCTTCATAATTAGCCAGCTTCACTCTCAGGCCTGCAGTGTTCTTGGGACCTGCAACTGGATGGAAGGCTGGTTTTGGAGTGCCCATTCCAGACCTAGGGTCCAAGCCTACAGCCAGCATTGAACACAGTGGATCTAAAACATCTAAAACTGTCGAGCATGAGGAGATCTTCATGGACACCTGGCTTGACACCCCTACAAAACACACACACTAGCTTGAGGCGAACCTGTTTGATCTGAGCTCTGGGCCTTTTCCCCTGGCTTTGGATCTGACTAGGATGTTTATTGCTGGCTAGAAGGCTTTCCTTTCCCCTCAACTTTTTGCCTCAATGGTCTTCTTTCCCCAAAATATACATAAATTCTTGTTATTTCAAGTTCTTCTATCTCTGCTCATGTATCTTCCTTACTGTGTTAATGATGTTATAAGGTGATCATTTAGATGTAATCCATTGGATTTCATGAATTCCTAATTGATGAAGATACAAGACTTAATATAAATACAGATGGTCCCTGACTTGCAATGCTTTGACTTAAGATCACTCAACATTACTGTAGTGCCAAAGCCCTAAGCATGCAGTGGAAACCTCATCCTTTGAATGATGAACTGATCTTTTCTCAGGCTAGCCCTACGGGGGTCCTCATGGTCCTGCAATGCTGGGCAGCAGTAGTGAGCCAAGCTCCAGGCCAGCACCCGAATCAAAAGGGCAGGAGATGGTAGTCTGTACTGTGCTGAGCTGTGCTGCTCAGCTGTGCTGCTGAAAAGTTTAGGTACAGTGAATTTACATTAACCTTAGGATTTTCTCACATCTGGTGGGCTTATCAGGAAATAGCCCCTCTGGTGGTCTTGGAGAATGAGTGGTAAAATGTATGTGCTTTGCATCCAATTGAGAAGTGGTTAAATCTGGTACAATATGCATACAGAAGATGGGTCTTCACCATGACAACCAAGTTTCTGAAACCAGCGGTTTTCTCTAACAATGAGAGTAAAATTTAGTCTCCAGTTTAGGTTAGTTGTGCTCCTGGTCACAGATGATCTGCTCACACTTCCTGCCTTTTTGACTACCTCAGGTTCCCACTACCTTTCCCACTGTTTCCTAAAGATTATTAAGGAAACTCTAGAAAGATTTGCCAAGATAGATTATCAAGAATCAGCATGGGAGCTGGTGACGTAGTACAGGGGTAGAATGTTTGCTTAGCATGTGTGTGACCTGGGTCACAATCTCAAACACTGCACAAACACACACACACACACACACACACACACACAATAGAAACTACACATCAGAACTTCAGATGGGACAAACAAATCACAGGAAATTATATATATATATATATATATATATATATATATATAGAGAGAGAGAGAGAGAGAGAGAGAGAGAGAGAGAGAGATGATCATTCTAAAATAAAGATAATTATACAATAGAAATGTAAAGACCAACCTAATTTTGCATGTAAAGAGGTGGAAGTTGCTGGATAGAGTGAGCAAGACAATGGAGGTGTACATGACCGTTGCACAGTGGAAAACATCCAAGGAACTTATTTTATCAGGTCAGCCTTATCCAAAACCAAAGCCAAACAAAGGTAAATACTACAAAAAAAGGGGAAAAATAAAACATGGACAACACAGATTAATACACTGTGTGTATTATATAATGTATAGATTATATGTATACATTATATAATATATACATATAGAATATGCACATGCATATATGCATACATGCATATATCATGTATGTATATGCATAAATGTATGTATT